GAAAAAAAAATGGACTACCATTCTTTTTCTTTTCGAATGACTTATACAACTTACTTGAAAAGCTTGGTGTTTTTTTTCTTCTTTCTGCAACATTTTTATTGAGTATGACGTTGAATATGCTGTTTTTTTGGGTTTAACCACGCAAAAAATGAAAATTTGTCTGATGTGTTTCGTAGCTTGATTGCATTGTGATAAGAATATTTATTTATAATAAGAAAGCGAGAATAGAAATAAACTAGATGATTCATAATATTAGACAATATAATTTCATTGAAATGTAAAGATTTGTTGATGTAGATCAATATATCAATTTTATTACAGTAATAAATAGATGGTATGCCAATCATCCATTTGTCTAAGATTACATTCTTTAGAATAAAAATTTAAAAACAAATAAACAGAAAGTTTTTTTTTAAATCATGATTTGCATCAACAAGTGGATTAAAAAAACCAGAGACAATCTTGTTTCATTAAGTAATTTTGCTATCATACATCGTGATCGAGATCATGTTTTTCGATTATATATGTTTGTTCTTTAAATGAACTAAATCATTCGAAGTAAACAATAAATTTAAATTTCTCAAACAATAATAGTCAAGATTTATAATACTCTACAGATTGAATACCTCTACATATGATACAAATCCTCACTCAACTACGTTATGATTTGACCCCTTTATATCCAGTCATATGATTCAATAGTTTATGTCTTTGTTTCGCGATGCTTTGGATTAAAATAAGTATGTGTAATATAGAATGAATATATAAGTTTGTTTTCTTTGACTGTACTTTTTTATTGGATATTAAAAAATATGAGTACTATTGCATCATGTGGTATACACTCGTAAGAAATTCGTCAGATGATTTTATTTTTGTAGAGAAGTGACGAAAAACTAATAGAATGAAGAATAAGAGTATGTGCCATTATGACTTCATATAAAACTGATATCTTCGAGAAAAATAAATGAGAATTTATTCACGATACTTTTTTTTCTTATTCTAGATAATGGCAAGCATTTTCTCTCGAGTTCGTCTCTGTTTTATTCGTCATGGAGAATCAGAAGCTAATATACAAACAATTTATATAGGTGGTCAAACTGTTTCATGTCCATTAACTGAAAAAGGACAAGAACAAGCTTTTCTATTAGGCAAACGTTTACAATATGAAAATATGAAATTTGATTATTATTTCTGTTCAACAGCTGTTCGAGCAAAACAAACAGCAGATATTGCTTTAGAAACAATGAATATTGATAAATCAAAATTAATTCTATCAACTGAACTTTTAGAACAATCACAATGATCATGGGAAGGATTATATCGTCGTGAATGTTATACAGATGAAATTATGCAAAAAATGAAAGAATTACATATAGATTTTTCTAGTCCAGATGGTGAATCAATACGAATGGTACAAAAACGAGCTATTGCATTTTTAGAACCTTATATTGAACAAGCTAAAAAACAAAGTATAGAAGAAAATCGAGAAATATCAATTGTTATTTTTACACATGCGAATTTAATTCGAGCTGTAATACAATATTATACTGAAAGTAATCCAAAATATACATGGCTTATTGGACAATATAATACATCAATAAGTGAAATTCTTTTTAATCAACATGGAATATCATTAGTTAAAGTTAATGATATTGGTCATTTAAAGTTTTTAATACCAGAATCATCAGAAAATAATTAATATAACTGCTTATGAACAAATATCAATAAAACTAAATATTTTCTTTTTTTCTAATAATAAATGGAAGAAACTTTGATTCTTTGCAGAACTTCTTAACATCTTATGTATAATCTATCTAAAACAACATTTTAAACATTGTAAGATGATAAAATTAAAACAAACGATATAATTCAATTAACAATAGATTGTAAAAATAAACATATTGAATTATTTTCATGAACGAAAAAATAAAAAATATNCATATAATTATCATTAAACTAGCTATGACAGACTTCAGCTTGCTGAGACTTATATGATGAGATGAGAAAATGTTTGCTAAGCTGGATTATCAATTTTGGAAAAATATAGATGCTCTTCACAGAAATGGGAAATCCTGTTTGCTATAGATCTATTTCGATGAAGTTTCTGGCGATCTCATACCTGAGGGATGACCTTGATAAAGACGATAGGAAGAATTGAATTGTAATATGTATTTGAGGTGATGTGGCTGTTGATTTAGTATCAAAGCAATTTGTATGAATGCTAGAAAAATATTTTCATCAACATTAAGATTTTTAAGATTTGTGCATTATTTGCCGGTTGATATAAACTCATGCTCTTGTGTGGTTGATGCTACGTTTACATTTTTTTAGCAACTAAAGTGAAATGCGTAACAAACATTGAAGAAGAATTTGAAAATACTAAATCAAAGATTTTTCAAATAAGGGTTGAAAAATTTTAATCGCTTTATTTGTTGAAGTACATTCCTAAGGGACGATCATTTTGTAGGATCTATTAAGACTTATTCAATCTTTTTGTATTGTTAAATGAAGAAGTGAATGTTGTTTCTTGTTTAATATTATTTTATTTTGTTGACCTTGAATAAACACAGATACTTCAGTTACGGTTTAATCATTTTCATTTCTTTTAGCTGAACTTGTGTTTTGAATTACACTGATATTGTTCGTTGTTATTTGCTGTTGATGATCAATGAATTTAGTTTTTATCGTATAATTCTACGAAAAGGAACCTTTCTCAATGATTTACTAAGTTCATCTTGATCTAGAAAAACAACGCCATATAACAAATAAATGTGGCTGTGGCTGAAGATAATATCAAAAGGCACAACCTCAGCTGCACCAAAATACCCACCCTAGTCTTCAGTCAATGTAATTTGACCTTCTATGACTTAGTTCATAGTCATAGGTCAAATTTATCTTCACATTGATTCGAAGTTTTATTTTGATAAGATAATGTAGTAGAGATCAGATGTGAATGAACTTTAATTTTTTTTTGACATTAATGATATAATGAAATAATGAAAAGTTTTTACTCTCTTTGATACATAGTATGTTGACGAAATCAACCAATAAAGAAGTGTTCTGAATAATTCTGGCACACAAACACTTAAAACCGAGTTTCATTCTATTTTTAAGAAATATTTTAACAATTCAATGACATGTTATATCAATCGATGACTCTTACGGTGCGTTGACGCAATTCAGATGTACTTTAGCGACACAAAGAATATGAATAACCGTGATGTCATGCCATCACCCACTCTATTCGCGCATTTTTTCTTATTAGGTTTCGTATATCATTCATAATTTATTGATGTACGTCAAATTTTGTTTCAAATATCATTTACTTTATTCATAACGTCATTCAACACTTCAATTCACCAATGACTCATCCGTAAGAAGCCGCCTGATGACTGCCAAGTTTATAGAATCAAAACATCGATTATTCCCTTCCAACATCGCCCACATACGTTTTCTCTTATCGCATATAAATAGATGTTTGCTTTCTTTTACATTGTTATAAATCATTCTTTCTCCTTTTGTGAAAAAACTTCTTATGATTCTATTGTAAGAATTCCTTCAAAGTTGATATCGAGCTTATTTATATCTTAAAATGTCCTTATTCTTCGTCGGATGCTTATGATAGATTTGCATCAAATGAAGATTTCTGTTGTCCAATGCAAAATGCACTATGATTAATATTCATCGTCTTTTAATTGTTTCTTCTATATTTTGTTTTGGTAAGACATCCATTTTTTTATTGATTCGTCGAAAATTCAGAATAATGAGTAATCGACTATTAAAGAAATGAATGTCTATCACGTTGACTTTTCATATTTGACAATAGAACTTTATTAAGTTAGTATGGTTCTTAGAAAAATATTGTAATTCCTTGCAATTTAGTCTTCGTGTTCGTCAGTAACATGCGCGTTAACTTTTCACTAATGTCTATATGAAAACCTTTTCTTATCATTTTGTTGGTTGCTTACGCCATGACATAGATCGAAAATGATCTTCAGAAGAGACAAAATAAAACGATCTTGTAGCTGTTTCTGATCATAAATATACGATTATAATATTTCATATAGTCTGAGGAAATCCTATCGATCAAATTAAGCCCCCTCAAAAGCAGTCAATTTTGTGAGAACTGTCAAAATCCAGATAAATTCATAAGAAAATAGCCCGTCGTCTGCTCTTTCAGAATCAATAAAAAAATTTCCTAAAACCTCCAATTTTTCTCGAAATATTTCAGAATTTCAGAGAACCAGTTTTTGAAAAACCAGCAGTTTTTTGAAATATCGAAAAATCTTTTTCGTTTTTACTCATTTTTCGTTTTCTTGTACGCGCATTCTAAATTTCTCTTTCATAGTTCGTCTAATATATTAATATTTTGTTTTCGTTGGAAAGAGCATGTCAAGACGCAAGGCACTATGACGCCCTTTTTTTGAAATGGTTCTTTTCTTTAGGCAATATAAAGTTAGTAATATAATTTGATTACCATTTTTTGATAAATTTTTTAGTCGTTGAACTTGTGACTTCTTTTTTTCCGATTAAAAAGAAGGTGTTTCAAAAAAAGAGCACCGTAGTGCTCTGTATCTTGACATGCTCTTTCCAACAATAAAGAAATTAACATATTGGACGAACCGTTAGAGAGAAATTTGGGTTACCAAATTACCTATTTTTCGACTTTGTTTGGTGAATATTTCCCTTAAATGAAATAGTTTTAAATTAACAATTTTATCATAGACTCCCCTTAATGCCTCCAGCATATCCTCAAAGTTTCAGCTGATTCTAACGTTCCTGGGTCAAGATCGATTTTTGAGGGAGGAAATATCTTAAATTGCGGTCTTTCTTTTCTTCTTGTACTCATATTAAGTTATTATCACAGGCAAATCGATTTATTATTCTAGAGTTAGAATAATCTTGGAGAACTAAGCTTGAATATGGCGAGTGCATACAATAATAATGAAGTTTCTGGTGATATTTCATCAGAAAATATGCACAATGCATCATGTGATGGATGTAATTCAACAAAAATCTATAGTGATCGGTATAAATGTTTGCAATGTGTTGACTATGATCTATGCGGTAATTGTTTTGAAGACCGCCGTCAAANTGAAGATATGCTGAGAAGGGAAGTCTCTGATAAAATTCTCAACTCAAAACTATTCCAGTTAAGGGAAATATACATAAAAAAAAGTCGAAAAATAGCTCATTTAGCAACCCAAATTTCTCTCTAACGGTTCGTCTTATATGTTAATTTCGTTTTCGTTGGAAAGAGCATATCAAGATGCAGAGTAGTACGGCGTTCTTTTTTTGAAAAACCTTCTTTGTAATCGAAAAAAAGAAGTCACAAGTTAAACGACTAAAAAATTTATCAAAAAATGTTAAAAAACACTATATTACGAACTTTATATTGACTAAAGAAAAGAACCATTGCAAAAAAAAGGGCGTCGTAGTGCGCTGCATCTTGACATGCTCGTTCTAATGAAAACAAAATATTAATATATTGGACGAGCAATGAAAGAGAAATTTGGGTTGCTAAATGAGCTATTTTTCGACTTTTTTTTATGTATATTTCCCTTAACTGGAATAGTTTTGAGTTGAGAATTTTATCAGAGACTTCCCTTCTCAGCATATCTTCACTGCTGATTCTAACATTCCTGGGTCAAGATCGATTTTTGAGAGAGAAAATACCTTAAATTGTGATCTTTCTTTTCTTCTTGTAATCATATTAAGTTATTATTACAGACAAATCGATTTCTTATTCTAGACTTAGAATAATCTAGGAGATATGGCGAGTGCATACAATAATAATGAAATTTCTGGTGATATTTCATCAGAAAATATGCACAATGCGTCATGTGATGGATGTAATTCAACAAAAATCTATAGTGATCGGTATAGATGTTTACAATGTGTTGACTATGATCTATGCGGTAATTGTTTTGAAGAACGACGTCAAACCAAAGAGCATCTTAGTGGTCATGCAATGGCACATCTCAAAATTCCCAAAGAATTGTTTGGTCAACCGATCCGTCATACTAATGAGATAACTCTTACAAAACTTCACGAGCTTCTAGCTGGTAAACGTCACGATAACATATGTAACGGTTGTAGCACACAGATTGTTGGCATTCGATTCAAATGTGATACTTGTTATAATTATAATCTATGTTTTCAATGTATGAAACAACGAATAATCAAAGAACCACATGAGGACAGTCATCCATTAGTAGCAACCAGCAATCAAAGTCTGATGAAAATCGATATCAATGATATTCGGAAACTAGATGTACTTGGTGAAGGAGGATTTGGTATACTGATCTATGTTTCCTATCTTTATTAATTTCTATCAAAAAATTCTCATTGATTTAGGTCAAGTTTGTAAAGCACAATGGTTATCACATAATCGTCAAGTAGCTTGTAAAGTAATTCGAGTGACACCACAACGATGTCACTTGGAAGAGAGTTTTCGCAGAGAATTAGCTGCCTATGTCGAATTATCAGGCGCATTTATTCTTAAAACATTCGGTTATGGCGATCGAATGCTAGAAAATGGAGTCAAAGAATGTTATTTGATTACTGAATTGATGCATCGTGGTAGTTTGAGCAATGTTATTCATAATAGAAATGAGAAAATCTCACTTCGACGTAAACTTTCTATGGCCTGTCATATTGCTAGTGGCATGCGTAAATTACATGGACACTCGATGATTCATCGGGATATTCGTCCTGATAACATTCTTGTGTCGAATAATTTCGTAGCAAAGATCGGTGACATGGGTATTGCAAATCTATTCAATCCAGACGAACGTCACACATTAATTGGTTGTTTGCCTTTCATGCCACCGGAATTTTATCGGTCAGTAAGAAATCTAATTGAAGTTGATTTACTTTGACTAACTTTTTAATTGTTACCATTCTGTTTAATAGAGGAGATGGTCAATATGATCAATCACTAGATGTGTTTACTTATGGATTGACATTGAATGAACTATTTACAGAGAAAACTCATCGATTTAATCAATCAACAAAACGAGTTGAATTAATCGAACAAAGTCCAATTTTCACGAATTATATTCTTAAATGTATTCAGGATGAATCAACCCGCCGACCAACAGCTGTCGAACTGGAAAATACCCTTCATAAGGGTCGACAAGCAGCCGATCGATATATCAAAGAAAAGTGTCCCGATTATACAAAAGAAACAATAGAAAAAAAAGATAATATTTTCATTGGTTTCTATCATGAATATCGNTAAGAGCGCACAGGCCTGATCCTGCGTTTGACATGTATCCTGAAACGAAAGATTTGCAGTTGATAAATTGTTCCAATCGGCATATTAGAGTACAATATTAGTCCTTATAATTCAACGATCATTCTGAACAAAGACTAATCACGAAGAACTAAAAAACTCCTTTGAAATACATATAATTATCATTAAACTAGCTATGACAGACTTCAGCTTGCTGAGACTTATATGATGAGATGAGAAAATGTTTGCTAAGCTGGATTATCAATTTTGGAAAAATATAGATGCTCTTCACAGAAATGGGAAATCCTGTTTGCTATAGATCTATTTCGATGAAGTTTCTGGCGATCTCATACCTGAGGGATGACCTTGATAAAGACGATAGGAAGAATTGAACTGTAATATGTATTTGAGGTGATGTGGCTGTTGATTTAGTATCAAAACAATTTGTATTAATGCTAGAAAAATATTTTCATCAACATTAAGATTTTTAAGATTTGTGCATTGTTTGCCGTTTGATATAAACTCATGTTCTTGTGTGGTTGATACTACGTTTATATTTTTTTAGCAACTAAAGTGAAATGCAACGTAAAATACGTAACAAACATTGAAGAAGAATTTGAAAATAATAAATCAAAGATTTTTCAAATAAGGGTTGAAAAATTTTAATCGCTTTATTTGTTGAAGTACATTCCTAAAGGACGATCATTTTGTAGGATCTATTAAGACTTATTTAATCTTTTTGTATTGTTAAATGAAGAAGTGAATGTTGTTTCTTGTTTAACATTATTTTGTTTTGTTGACCTTGAATAAACACACATACTTCAGTTACAGTTTAATCATTTTCATTTTTTTTAGCTGAACTTGTGTTTTGAATTACACTGATATTGTTCGTTGTTATTTGCTGTTGATGATCAATGAATTTAGTTTTTATCGTATAATTTTCTTCTATGAATTCGTTTATAGTCATAGGTCAAATTTATCTTCACATTGATTCGAAGTTTTATTTTGATAAGATAATGTAGTAGAGATCAGATGTGAATGAACTTTATTTTTTTTTTGACATTAATGATATAATGAAATAATGAAAAGTTTTTACTCTCTTTGATACATAGTATGTTGACGAAATCAACCAATAAAGAAGTCTTTTGAATAATTCTGGCACACAAACACTTAAAACCGAGTTTCATTCTATTTGTAAGAAATATTTTAACAATTCAATGACATGTTATATTAATCGATGACTCGTACGGTGCGTTGGCGAAATTCAGATGTACTTTAGCGACACAAAGAATATGAATAACCGTGATGTCATGCCATCACCCACTCTATTCGCGCATTTTTTCTTATTAGGTTTCCTATGTCATTCATAATTTATTCATGTACGTCAAATTTTGTTTCAAATATTATTTACTTTATTCATAACGTCATTCAACACTTCAATTCACCAATGACTCATTCGTAAGAAGCCGCCTGATGACTGCCGAATTTACAGAATCAAAACATCGATTATTCACTTGCAACGTCGCCCACATACGTTTTCTCTTATCGCATATAAATAGATGTTTGCTATCTTTTACATTGTTATAAATCATTCTTTCTCCTTTTGTGAAAAAACTTCTCCTTATGATTTTATTGTAAGAATTTCTTCAAAGTTGATAGCGAGCTTATTTATATCTTAAAATATCCTCATTCTTCGTCGGATGCTTATGATAGATTTGCATCAAATGAAGATTTCTGTTGTCCAAAGCAAAATGCACTATGATTAATATTCATCGTCTTTTAATTGTTTTTTCTATATTTTGTTTTGGTAAGACATCCATTTTTTTATTGATTCGCCGAAAATTCAGAATAATGAGTAATCGACTGTTAAAAAAATCAATGTGTATCACGTAGACTTTTCATATTTGACAATAGAACTTTATTAAGTTAGTATGGTTCTTAGAAAAATATTGTGATTCCTTACAATTTAGTCTTCGTGTTCGTCAATAACATGCGCGTTAACTTTTCACTAATGCCTATATGAAAACCTTTTCTTATCATTTTGTTGGTTGCTTACGCCATGACATAGATGGAAAATGATCTTCAGAAGAGACAAAATAAAACGATGTTGTAGCTGTTTCTGATCATAAATATACGATTATAATATTTCATATAGTCTGAGGAAATCCTATCGATCAAATTAAGCCCCCCTCAAAAGCAGTCAATTTTGTGAGAACTGTCAAAATTGAGATAAATACATAAGAAAATAGTCCGTCGTCTGCTCTTTCAAAATCAATAAAAAAATTTCCTAAAACCTCCAATTTTTCTCGAAATATTTCAGAATTTCAGAGAACCAGTTTTTGAAAAACCAGCAGTTTTTTAAAATATCGAAAAATCTTTTTCGTTTTCTTGTACGCGCATTGTAAATTTCTCTTTCATAGTTCATTCAATATATTAATATTCTGTTTTCGTTGGAAAGAGCATGTCAAGACGCAAGGCACTACGACGCCCTTTTTTTGAAATGGTTCTTTTCTTTAGTCAGTATAAAGTTAGTAATATAATTTTATTACCCTTTTTTGATAAATTTTTTAGTCGTTGAACTTGTGACTTCTTTTTTCCGATTAAAAAGAAGGTGTTTCAAAGAAAGAGCGCCATAGTGCTCTGTATCTTGACATGCTCTTTCCAACAAAAAAGAAATTAACATATTGGCCAAACCGTTAGAGAGAAATTTGGGTTGCCAAATTACCTATTTTTCGACTTTGTTTGGTGAATATTTCCCTTAAATGAAATAATTTTAAGTTGAGAATTTTATCATAGACTCCCCTTAATGCCCCCAGCATATCCTCAAAGTTTCAGCTGATTCTAACGTTCCTGGGTCAAGACCGATTTTTGAGGAGGAAATACCTTAAATTGTGGTCTTTCTTTTTTTCTTGTACTCATATTAAGTTATTATCACAGACAAATCGATTTCTTATTCTAGACTTAGAATAATCTTGGAGAACTAAGCTTGATTATGGCAAGCGCATACAATAATAATGAAGTTTCTGGTGATATTTCATCAGAAAATATGCACAATGCATCATGTGATGGATGTAATTCAACAAAAATCTATAGTGATCGGTATAGATGTTTGCAATGTGTTGACTATGATCTATGCGGTAATTGTTTTGAAGAACGACGTCAAACCAAAGAACATCTCAGTGGTCATGCAATGGCACATCTCAAAATTCCCAAGGAATTGTTTGGTCAACCGATCCGTCATACAAATGAGATAACTCTTACAAAACTTCACGAGCTTCTAGCTGGTAAACATCACGATATCATATGTAACGGTTGTTGCACACAGATTGTTGGCATTCGATTCAAATGTGATACTTGTTACAATTATAATCTATGTTCTCAATGTATGAAACAACGAATAATCAACAAACCGCATGAGAACAGGCATCCATTAGTAGCAACCAGCAATCAAAGTCTGACGAAAATCGATATCAATGACATTCGCAAACTAGAGGTACTTGGTGAAGGAGGATTTGGTATACTGATCTAGGTTTTCTATCCATATCACTTTCTATCGAATATTCTCATTCATTTAGGTCAAGTTTTTAAAGCAAAATGGTTATCACAGAATCGTCAAGTAGCTTGTAAAGTAATTCGAGTGACACCACAACGACGTCACTTGGAAGAGAGTTTTCGCAGAGAATTAGCTGCCTATGTTGAACTATCAGGCGCTTTTATTCTTAAAACATTTGGTTATGGCGATCGAATGCTAGAAAATGGAGTCAAAGAATGTTATTTGATTACTGAATTGATGCATCGTGGTAGTTTGAGCAATGTAATCTATAATAGAAATGAGAAAATTTCACTTCGACGTAAGCTTTCTATGGCCTGTCATATTGCTAGTGGCATGCGTAAATTACATGGACACTCGATGATTCATCGGGATATTCGTCCTGATAATATTCTTGTATCGAATAATTTTACAGCAAAGATCGGTGACATGGGTATTGCACAAATATTCAATCCAGCCGAACGCCACACATTAATTGGTTGTTTGCCTTTCATGCCACCGGAATTTTATCGGTCAGTAAGAAATCTAAGTGAACTTGATTTACTTTGACTAACTTTTTAATCGTTACTACTCTGTTTATTATAGAGGAGACGGTCAATATGATCAATCACTGGATGTGTTTACTTATGGATTGACATTGAATGAACTATTTACAGAGAAAACTCATCGATTTAATCAATCGACAAAACGAGTTCAGTTAATCGAACAAAGTCCAATTTTCACGAATTTTATTCTTAAATGTATTCGGGATGAATCGACTCGCCGACCAACAGCTGTCAGACTGGAAAATACTCTTCATAAGTATCGGCAAGCAGTCGATCAATATATCAAAGAAAAGTGTCCCGATTATACAAAAAACACAATA